CCTGCTCCAACACTTTCAGTAGTTTCCTAGTCTCTTAGGAGGAAGGACAGATGACTCAATGTGGGCTTACCCTGTTGACCCTTGGGTCCACCACAATTCCCATATCCAGTGTGAATTGTTCCCCTTTTGTGTGCTTTCAACATGCTGTGCTCTTGCCAACTTCCAAGCTCTTCTCATATCATTTCCTCATCTGGGATTCTCTCAGAATTGCTCTTTGTCTAACAAAAAGTATACTCAATAAAACCCATTTCAAGCCCACTCCCATATGCTATCTTTTTCAGCTCCTCCATCCCACATTGATCTGTTTCACCTTACTTTCTTGTACTCACTGGGTCCAAGGAACTTTAGAGTCTCAGTGACATACTTTTTCACTGCTATACCTTTTGTCATAGCTCTCATTTTGGCTATGTGTTCTTTCATATGTGTTAGGCTTGCTTCTTCAGATTCTTCAGCTAGTTACTCTAAATGCAGGGGAGGGCTGTGTCTTTGGCTTCTCCTTTACATATAACCTGCCCTCTGCCTCACACATGCATGCACACGCATGCCCATCTTTTTTTTTTACTATTTTATTGATTTTTTACAGAGAGGAAGGGAGAGGGATAGAGAGTTAGAAACATTGAATGAGAGAGAAACATTGATCAGCTGCCTCCTGCACACCCCATACTGGGGATGTGCCCGCAACCAAGGTACATGCCCTTGACCGGAATCAAACCCGGGACCCTTAAGTCTGCAGGCCGATGCTCTATCCACTGAGACAAACCAGTTACAGCGCGTGCTCATCTTAATTGAAGACATTGTCTCTCTCTACTTTCTTCTCACTCTTAATTCCCACCACAGTCAGGTGCTTGTCTTTTTTACTCAACTCTTAGAGCCCTGGTTAGCCCCACCTGGGGAAGCATATCCTGCCAGAAAAGGATCCAAAAAAATCTGTCCATTTAGTAAGAAGCAATATCCCCCCGCCCGCCCCCGACAATCATTGTTGATCAAGTTGCTTACCTGAGTTTTGACTCCATTGCCCAGGCTGGTGTCTGTATTCCTGACCACATGCTAATTCTCCCACCCAGAATATGGAGCTCTCTGTTTTATTTCTCTTTCTATAGTCACTTCTGGGCTATCACCTACTTATCTGTCATGGCTATGTGGGTGATTTTCAAGTCACTTCTCCAATCTTTGGGTTTAACCTTACTTCTGTAGCTTCTTATTGAACACATCTTGGGTGTGTCATTATTACCTCAACTCAGCCTTCACTAGAGCCCAACTGTCATTTTCCTTGTCTTTTTCTATATCTACTAGAGACCCAGTGCATGAATTCGTGCATAGGTGGGGTCCAGTCGGCAGATTGGGGCTGGGCCTCTTGGGAGGAGGAGATGGTGGAAGGTTGCCCACCCTGGGGCTGATCAGGGCCAGGCTGGCTGGGGAGAGGGGCTGTGGGCGATTGGTGGCGGGGCCAGCCATGGAGAGGAGCTGTGGAAGGTTGGCTGGCCAGCCCCACCCCTGATTGGTGGGGGGGAGGGCTAATTGGGGGCAGAGCTGGCTGCAGGGAGGGG